AATAAAAATCATTATTTGATTTTGCTTTTTTGATTAATATCATGCTAGATTCTCGTTTCATTTAATTGTTGTGAACTGCTGTGGTCTATCTCTTTAAACTCATAAAATGAGGAATAGATTTTTTCCTTTTGGAATATTTAAAATGTAATTTATAAAATATTTAAAATGGCATATTTTTGCAGATTTTTTTCAGAAAAAAAGGCGATCGTCCATAGCGCTTTCTGTGTTTAAATGTGCGAAATAAAATGTTACCGAAAATATTAACTTCATATGAGTTGAAAGTATGCTTTTTTCCAATGATTGGTTCAGAATTTTTATTTATTTTTAACAAATTTGCGCATTGAATAAGCAAATATTAAACTTTTGGTTGATTGCAGCATGTTGGTTATAAAGTAAACCTTTTTTTTTTTCAGTAAGGTAAATAAAAAAATATCAAATTGATTGACAAATCTAAATTTCAAGGAATCCCGTTCCGGATTTAAAAAAAGAGGAAAAAATATTATCTGATATGAACAGAATGGTTTGGGCATGGATACCAAGCAAGTAAAATTTTATGAAAGCCTTAGTGATTTATAACATTTCTATAAAATAATTTAGGAAGATTTTGGTCGGTTTCGCTTGCAATTCATTTTGACTGCAGAAAGCTGAAAGTGAATAGCAAAAACGCTATGATTAAAAATTAAAAAGTAAAAGATGACTAGTATTATAAACCATTGCTATCAGTGGTAAATGTCTGATATTTACTTTTCACTTATTACTTTATTCGCCTTTCTCTCCATTTCAACTTCTTCTGCTTCACATTTTTCATCATGAAATTCTATATTATTGGCTATGATGCAACTAAACTAATGTCGAGAGCATTTGATACGATTTAGTTAACTTTCATTTAATATTTTTCATACGAGGTACTTGTTGAAAAACCAAATTATAATCGTATGAAAGCCATAAAACTAAAATCTATCTCATTTGAGCATTCCTTATACGACAAATGTTCCAATCTCATGTAGAAAATCATTTAACCAATATTTATCTTTCAATTGTAACTCGAATATGTGTAGAAATTTGCTCCCAATTAGATTGTTTACAATTATCAGTTCTTTATTTAGTTGATCTTTTGTTTTGCTTGTCGGTTGCTTACTAACTCTAAATTATATTCCAATTTTGACTAGGTTAACAGTTTTTTATTTACCTAACCTCCTTTGCGGCATGTTCGCTCCTTCTAGTAAATCAAGCCTTATTATAAGTTAGTCTACAGTATAACCTTTGTCTAAGTTAGTTTTTGTGGATAGCAATCTGGCATTCACTACCAATTACTTCCTTAAACTGTTTAATTTTATTCGATAACAACGACAAATCTTCATCTCAGTAAAATAAAGATAAACATATTCGGCTCCACAAACTACTCGAAGCAAACACTATTTCACGATAATTTTACCTCGGAAGTACAATTTTCCTTTCATTCCTTTCATTTTGCCTTTTTCGCACTTAGCTGTGATGCAAAAAGATACTTTCCTGTGTCTTAACTGTTCAGTCCTAATCAATACCAATACGAGTTCTTGATCAATTTAGAAAACACAAGATCACTTAAAATTCAATTTCTTTACATATTAAAAGATATTTCTACGGACCAAACAAGAAGTTGCATTTATTACACATTCGAAGAATTTTCAAAATATTTCAGAAGCTAAGAAAGTTTCCGAAATTGTTAAAGTTGAAATGTGATATATAACGAATTAAACAAGCTTGTTCAAAAATTTTTCCCTTTTTTATAAATTAATTTTGCAAATGTTTCATTATTTTATTCTAAGAGATAAAAAAGAGCAAATAAATGTAAATTATAAAGATGATATCTTGAAATATATGGAAGGAAAAGAAAAAGTTCTGTATAATTATCATAGACGAATGAAAATATTACAGATAAAAAGTTTTCTTTTGCAATTGTGCATGTTATTAATTAAGAGAACTCTCAAGTGAAAATTAATGCTATTCGTTTCTTAATAAAAATGATACAACAGAAATAAATATGTATTCTATTTCATTTTTTTTTTATGTTTACAGCAATAGAAATATAAATTTTATATATATATATATATATATGACATCATTTGAAATCAAAGATTGTTTTCCACCTGCTCTTGAATCGTTTTGATAATAATAAGGTTTAGACCGCAAAAATCAATTTGATAATTTAAAATAGGTGTAAAAATATAATAAAAGAGGAGGTTTTTTATTATTTTATTACGTTTATTATTATTATTATTATTATCATTAATTATTGTTAGAACAACAATTGTTTTGAATTTTATCACTTTTATTAATTTTCATACCTCTCATATGGTCATATTCACGCACTGTGAATGTTACTGAAAAGTATTAATAAATATTAGTGTTTTTCTCCATCTTTATCCTTAACTTTCTTAATTTTCATGTGTGAGCAATAATCAATTTATGGTAATTTCTTGATTTAAATATATTCTTAAACTATTGATGATTTGAGGTTTGGCGACAGCGATCGAAAACAATGACTTGCAGGGAAGCACATTAGCAAAGCGTCTTGATGTGATAATATGAACATTAATTAACAAATTATCAATGAGTTGAATATTTGGTAGGAGATTAATTCGAAGGTTGCCGTTCAAAATTGATATTCATTGACCTCAAGCAAAGTAATAACGTTCACAAATTTGAAAATAAAAACTTTAATTTAGAAAAGCTTTTCAAATTTTCAATTCCTTAAAATCTTTCGAAGAAATTGTTTAAAAATTTGGTAGATAAAATATTCACATTTATTTGGTTGGAACATGTTTTAATTGTGTGTAATTATTATTTTTGCCTCATTTTTCACTCATTCAAGTCCTTGTCCTCATACTTCTACTATCAAGAATAATAAATAAATATTTATTACGAAACTGAATTCTGACTTTCTGCGTTTCTGCGTTGTCCATTTATCATTATCTTATCAATAAGTGCACAAAATAATTTGCAATATGCTTGTCAATTTTTCAGACCCAAAGAATTAAACATTTGATGCATGAATTATGAAAGACCTACCGAAAGAGTAGTAAGTCTAATTGTTGACTTTGTTTACAAGCAGAGCTAATTCCTAGTTGACGAGCAGTTTTATATAAAAGATTTACAGATTAAACATAAGATTGAAAGCAAAGAGTTATAAGCACTATTTGCAAGATTTCATAAACCTTATTTCTTACTCATATTCTCAATGCTCATATTTTAGAGTTTCGCGATATTAAAATCCGCAACAGGCATAGCCTGAATGTGACCCTTTATTATCCTTCGCGCTTCACACTCAAAATTCACCTCACATATTCCTCACATTTGAAAGTTTTAGTTAGTGACAAAATAATAGATAAAGTTGCACGTTCTGAATGTAAGCAGTTCTGCTGAGATGATTTTGAAAAAAATATGCTGTTTTTACATTCAGGTCTCGTTCTAGTAAAGTTAATATGACCTCTGGGCTGATTTATAGATGAGACGTTAATAGATTTGTCTCTTTTTGTCATTCAAGATCAGTTCTTCAAAACTTACCGTGAACTGATCCGATTCTTCCTCAATATACTGTTGAGAATGCGCAAATATTATTAACTAATTAAACGATGACGTTGATAATCACAAGGTGCTTGCCGGCTATAAAAGATATCACTCGGCTTTAACCATTCAATGAAGCGTAGATACAATAAGATGTTCGTCCACTTGACACATTCCTGTATTGTTTGCCTGAGACAAATTACAATGCTAGTGATCGACTATTTCCTTCTCTAAATGAACAAAAAGCAAGGTTTTGGTAAACAAAAAAACAAAGAAAGAAAATGAATAATAAAAAATGCGTTTTATCTGTTACATTGAAGCGTCTCGTTGACGTAAAAATAAAACGCTTTTCGCTGTTTTCTTCGACATCCTATCTCGAAATTTATTTTAACTGTTAACAGTAATTTTTTCTTTATAAAAAAACAACAACAATATAAAAAAAGACTGCGCAAAAACATCAGTTAAAACGTGTTTTCATAGTCGGCTCAGCAGTACTACATCGTGTTAAAGTGCCACCATGTATTTTTACGTGTAGTGATAAATCATCACGGCTGAAATACCATGCATATAAGCTGACAGGCTTTGAAAATATCGTTCTTGTAAGTTTAATATATGTATGTTAACGATTTCTATTCAGTTTATTTTAGTTTTTCAGCCAATTAGAAAGAAATATGATTGGAAGGCCTCTTTATATCCTATTAAGATTTCCCCTTTTCGTACCCTAAACTCTGAGGAAAGAGATGCTTAATATATTCCACATATCCCCGTTTCTTCATTATATTTAGCTAAATAACTGTTGCTTATAATGGACACCAATGCTGGTAACAGATACCAACAAACGATCATAGAAATTTCACTTACTTCAGAAACTGCAGATCGCAAATTTGACACGTAAAGTTTTTTCTCGAAAAATGTTTTTTACGATGGGTTTCAAGACGTTGACTGGATGAAAAAGATAGCACACAAAGATCACAGCGAAATGCTCTTGTTGAATGAATATGTGAATGACCCTGGAGAGCGCTTTCCGAGCCAAACATCTTAACAAGAAATTACAAAAATAACAGCACTTTAAGTTTTTTCTCCTTTTGCACTTCACTTTTTAGAGCAGTATGCAAGGCAAATACTTCTTCTCATATATTGAGATCATTTGCGTAAATGTCTTTTGCATCAAATTTCTAAAACTAGCCGGAAATAAGATAAGGATTGTGAAAAAGTGATAAAAATGAACAAATATCGTGTGATTCAAATGGATTGAAAACTAACAAGAATTGCAAAAAAATCAACCTGAGGACAGTATGGGCACTGATAAGTTTGTTGCTGGTTCAAGACCGGTGGTTGCTCTTGAAGTGAACTAAACAGTAATTACAACATGGATCATTAATGCGTTGTTATCTCACACATCATACATACTTTTTTATTTCAATAATTCTATAACAGAAATTATTGGGACTGGACTAAAGTAAAGTCAACTTAGGCAGTGTTTCGCATGCAACAGCTGGACAATGGTGATGTTGTAGTTGAGATTTAAAATGAAAAGCCTGTCGACAGTTACTGCACTGATAGGCTGCTTCCACATCCGAATGCACTGAATCAATGTGAGTTAATAAACTCCCAACATCTGGGAGATGTCTGCCACAGTACGGACAATCTCCGTTGCTGGAATGCTCCACTACATGTAATCCGAGTGATTCGCTTGAGAAATGCTGCAAAAATCTTAAATGCCAAGAAAAAAACATCATCAAGATAGACCACTCATTCCCGCGACTTAGGATTTCCTCGCGATATCAGAGAGTCAATGAAGGGGCACGAAATATTGCTACACTCAAATATAATGTTTGCAGATCTGCGGAAGTCTATAATTTTACAGAAGATCTCTTTCAGTAAGCTGAATGAAAGTTTTATAACTTGGCGATATTAGTGAACCTGTTGGCATATTCTGCACTGTCGATCCCTTCCCAAGGTATTGTCACTTATCTGCAAATGATATTTAGCGTGCGTATCGATCTGTGTATCATTACGAAGTGCTTGCCGACAAATGATACAGCTTACGGTGTATTCGTCTTGCATATGTTCACGAATATGATTCTTGAAATGCATGACGGTCTGGATTTGTATCTGGCAGTCTGCACAACGATTCGACCGAGGTACCTGAGAAATTCTGTTCTCAAAAATCTCAAACAGTTAACAATAAAAAGCCAAACTTCGAGAGTCAAAAATGGTAATAAAAGCTCAAAGTCGAATACCTACAGCAACGAATTTCTTAGTTATTTCTTCCAAAATGATATATGGTACTGATGCATAAAAGCAAATCATTACACAGAAAATGTGCCAGTTAATGTGTCCGTTTAACGAATTAAAAAAATTATATGGCCTTTTAGATAAAAACAATAAATGAGAATCACATCAGCAAGCATAATATGAATCAATAAATACTGAAATCGAAAAAATAAAGAAAAATAAGAAAGAAAATAGGAAAAAAACAGATGAATTCCGAATACCTTGCAATGTGCGATAAGGCGATGAAAGTCCAATTCATCTTCGTTTTCAAATTTTATATCACAGACCAAACATTTTACTAGACGATTTTCAGACTGCAATTGAAATATTCAAACTTATTTAGCGTATTTTGTATTTCGGTCACCAATCATATAACTCATTAGTAATTAAACATTATGATCTATTAGTGGGAATCTGTTATACCTACCTTATGAAAATGTATTTTTGAAAATGCACAGTGTGTACTATCAAAGCATTTCCAATTGTCAATGCTATCGATTGACCAAATTGGCCTGCAGTAGTGAATGTAAATTATTAATAATTGCTGATCGTATAAGAAATAATGACCTGTTGTTTGCAAAAACTATTTCCCGATGAATTCCGCTGTAAATTGTTAACTGTTAAAGTAATGGCAGACCGATCATGAATTAGCTGTACATGGATCGCTAGAAGATCGCGAGTTTCAAATGGAATGCTACAAACTGCGCAATGATATCGGAGAACTTCTTCGATGTGGGTAACAGAATGTTCCTGAATTGAAAATAATATTTAGTTCAAGAATATGAGAATCCCGATATCTGTGTATATCATATTGATTGCCTATTCGTCGTCATTTTTCTCTCAAGTCTCCTGGGAATATATTACATGTTATCATATTTCATTGCATTTGCAAATGAAATTCCGGAATTCCTGCACCTGAAAACGATGTTGGTTGCTAAACATTTGATGACATATGGCGCAGCGGTATAGTATCTCCAAATGCTCGTCAGAGTGATGTTGCCGAACTTGTTGAAAATTATAAAACGTTACCGTCGGACATTCTTTGCATTGTATACGAATACTATTTTCCATAAAATGTTCAACAATATGTGATAATCGAATCTAAGAGAAATAGGTAGGTGACAGTAAATAAAGTTGCTAGTGTTTTTTAGTTGTTGAATACTTTTATAGTCAAAAATTGTGGGAGAAAAAGAAATTTTCATTGCTACGAATATTTTCTTCGCATCATCTATATTATTTTTGAAGGAGTAAAAAGATGAATACAATAGGATCGGTGAAGATGGCACTGCAAAGACTGCATTTCTGCTCCTTATCTTTACTGATTAAATGTGTTCGCATATGACAACCAAATTCAGCAAAACCATGCAGTGTCGTGTCGCACTGTTGACATACCATTGATGGACCTTCGCCATTGTTTCGACCGATCTGAGAGGATTTTAATTGAATTTGGTTTAACTGGACATAAATATTTCCATAAAAATAGAGATCAGTTACTTAGACTTTATCATTTTGTGTCATTTCAATATTTTAAATCTTGTCATATTAATTCAAACAGAGTCTTAAGCAATATCGAGAATATTTCCCTTTCTTGTTGTGTTTTTTGCTAATAAACAAAAACGAATGTATACTTCGTTGTTCAACGAAACTGCGTCGTTTTCCTCATTTTCCACTTTTATATTTTGCTGCTGCTGTCGCTGCTGAAATTAAAAATAATTAAGTCTTCATGGAATGCAGCAATCACTTGCACGTTAACTTATATTTTTTTAACAAATGGAATCTTTCAACGAACACTTAACGTAATAATTCCTGAGGACAATAGATGATTTCGAATAAATTAATAAATTCGTATTAGGAATAAACAAATTGTGAAGAAATAGGTGAAATTACTAGCCATGCATTGCAGCAACTAATGATAAGTTTGGTAGACCCAGAAGGAAGACTGAATGTGACATTTTTGTAATTACAGCACTTGAAAGCATTATACCTGGTGATTTTGTAATGTGTGATTCTGTAGTGCCTTGATATCATCAAATCTAGTCTCACAGAAGCTGCAGATTATTTCCATATCTATGATCTTAACTAAAAGAGAAGATTCTGGAGATGATTCTTTGCCGTCGATCTCTGATTCGCCATCATTTTTTTGCTTTCTTAAGAAATCAAGATATAGTGACGTTCACTTTTTAATGCAATATGAAGAGTTGCATGAAATTAAGGTTTGCTTTAGTTCTTCTATTATTCCCACTAATTATCTACTCAGACCACTCACTTCACTTATGAGAATTTGGAGACTTTTGTTCAGTATCAACTGTAACAAAAATTTCTGAACAAAATATTTGTTATGGACTTAGTTTAATGGATACGCATCAGTCAAATTTTAATTTGCTATCACGAAACATGATTAACCAGTCGCTGCAAAAGAGATTTCAATTTAAAGCAAATATATTAGTTATTAAGAAGTCGTTAGTAAAATAAAGGGTAGTAGTTCTGTGAACAAACCTTTTCTTTCCTTGTACTCTTTGCTCCCTATGTAAACCATCATAATCATTATTAATTGTTTCATCATCTGCAATATTTTCAAGACATAAAATTTTCATTAAATAATAATCAACCGACTGGGAGATTAAAAAAAATAACTAAATGACAGCTTAACTATTAGTCAGTAAGTTCAACTGCTGCAGGTCTATTAGCTTTGCCTGATTCCTAAAATTATTTAGAGGAAGCCATTATGTGTGATATCAATGGGCAAGAACAACATGCATTCTCAAGTAGAGAGAAAATTATCTGAGCCAATTTTGGCAAGTGTATTAAGCAGCTTGGATGTTAACAACTTCCTTTGAAGAACAATGTCCGTCAGTTACGATCAGTTGTGCAAAGTAGCGATCGTGAGATAAGGAAACATTGTGATAATTGCCAGTAACAATAAAATGTCATAAGCAACTACGAAATTTTTTAACTGAATTTACTGAAGTCTAAGCTTTATGCAAACGTAAATTGTTTATTAAAACTGCTCCTCATGTATCTGAAGATTCAAATTTGTTGTTTTAACGAAAATTCTGATTGTAGAAGTCTTGGACAAATAGGAAATTTGAAGGAACAATTTATACCTTTGAATGCTTTCGGTTTAAATTGCTTTCTTTTTGTTGACATTGTAAATAATGATAAGGCTTCCTATGAATATAAATACTATTAGCACACAGATACCACATTCACTGAAGTGACAGAAGGTTCGAAAGTGAGCTTGAGCTCTGACGGAAATCTGAAAGTCGGCCAACTGGAATAGATAGGATTTTATAGGAAAAGAACGGGAAGGAGGGTTGGGGGAAGGGAAGGGTACGGGAGAAAGACAGGAGAGATGATTTGAACGGGCAATATATGGACTAGTTTGCAGCATAGCAGCAATTCCCTAGTGAATTCTGGTTATGGGCTTTGCAGTCTGCGAAGCAGGTCTCCGCCAAATCCCTTAGGTAATCCACTAATCGTAACTCTTCCATCCCTTCACTTCATCCTCATTCTCTCTTCTCTCTCGTTGAATTAGCTCGTTTGAATTCTCGAACTAGTCGGCCAACAAATGCAGGAGTAAAGCCTCACTTCCTTTCATTTTCTAAAATTCTGAGGAGACAAATTTACAGCAAGAAATATCACTGGAAACAAGCGCCACAAATTTCTCCATTAATGGATCAAGTTTTGTAAGTTGGTAGAAGACAAATACGCTTTCTCTACATATATTGACGCTGTTACTACAGTAAAGAATAAAAGGACGCCTCAAGTCTGAGATGAGATAAATTTGTTACGACTGACAAAAGTTAGGGACGGACGACCTATATCATTTGAAATACAGAACTTCAAACATAAAGCTTATCCGCCTTTTTGCAAATCCAGTGTCAAAGGTCGAATGATGCATGTCAAAATTTGCGAATTTTCCCAAATGTCACCTTTTCCTTCAACAACCTACATTCTGTCCAGCTGATTTCTGATCGCTTAATTTTGTTTGTATTAATCAAACATGGATCCAAAGATGAAGATTAAATAGTAAATTTCACAATTATACTAGTTAAGTATGCTTTTCCTGCACATCAATTCGATTGAAAATTCGTTCCTATTCACATTTGAAGTTGATGGAATATTTCAAAGATTTACTTGCAAGTACAAAAGCTTGTTGTGCAAGACAAAACTTTTTTTTTTTTTTTTTTTTTACAAAATATTAAGGAAATATACGATCTAATCAAAATTGTATATAACATTTATTAAATGCTTAATAATTGGCCCAAAATTATTATGTTTGAAAGACAAAACTGTACGAAATACATTAAAAAAAGCATTAACATATTAAAGTATTATTTTCCACCTGGGTAGTACCAAAAATTTTGAAAAAAAAAATGAAATTTTACAAGGCAGGACAACTAGTGAATAACGGAAAAAGTCTTATAACACAATATGAGAGTTGAAAGCTTTACATCAAAGTTACCGCTAAAGAAATATTACATAAAGATTAGGTTTTAGGTGTAAACAAAGGACCATACGATTAATATAATAGTGATATTGTAAAATCTAATTTTGCGAGTTTGCAAATGAAATAATTTTAAATTTGAATAAAGAAACAGGAATGTTTTTATTTCAAATCGAACTTATATATTCTGTATAATATATACTCATCAACTTAGAAAAAGAAAGGCAAAAAAAAAAAAAATTCATAAAGAATACATGATAGTCATTTCGTTCTTTTCCCTGCTATTAGAGCTTATAGATCGAAACTTTAAGAATTCACGCCACTTCATATACAAATATGCAGCAAAACACATGCCAAATAGCTAGAAAATATTTTTGGAAGTTATTCAAATATGTAAAAAGAAGCAAAACCTAGGCACAATTATTGTAATGTTAACTGCTGATTCGTTATAAATATTACACAAAAATGATCAAGAAGTTCTATCCAATCTGATTCCGTTGGTTCAGTTTATTCAGATACTTTTATTGTATTCGATGGTAAAATTTAATAACAAGAAGACATACCTGCATAACTGCAAATGCAAATGCAGTACCACATATGATCAGTAACTGCTCCTTTATCATTTTTTCAAATAAATTAAACATCCCTGAAAATTCCATTAAACTTAGATAATAAATTTTGAATAAGGAAAAATTTTAGCAAATCAGCAAACTAGACTGATTTTTCAGCAAGTCTTAGTATTCTGGAGAATGCGGTAATGAAGGAGAACCTGATAAATGAAGAGCATGAGTAATTGACATGTACAGCAACTTACATTATAATAAATATTAGAGGGATGATCTCGGCGTCCGCAGTTCGGTTTCACTGAACGGCAGCAAAAATCCGGTACAACCAAATCAAAAGAACGCTGTTTAAGCTCAGCTACGCCATTTACCTTCTGCCACCAAACAGAATCACGCCAGTCCTCGAAAGACTGAGAACCACAACAGCGACCCTGCAAAAAAAGAATGACAAGCAAGTGATATTATTTGAAAAAGTGATAAAAATATTTGGAAAAATCGAACTGATGACTTTTCCTATCTTTTCACGCCATATTCAATAAATTTGTGGCGCTGTCTTCACAACTGCTATATGTAAGATTATCTCAAAATTATTCTCAAGGCGTTTAGCGTAAACATATGCCTACTAACATTCCTCGTAATACATAATAGAAAGCATTCGTTAGATAAACAATAGCTTCCATATATTGAACATATACTGTGATACCTGCTGATGTAAGTGCTGCAGTGCTTGAGAAATATCACTGCGCTCAGAATGATCGCGAATAACTGACATAAGTAAGGTCGTTCCAAGATTACTTTCAAGGTGCTCAACATAAGCATACGTCATAATACATAGTGCTAATTCCATCAACATTGTAATTAATACCAGAACAGAATACTGAAAAGAACGGTCCAACTACACTTAATTATAACATCGATAGTCACTTTATTCTAACAACTTCATTTGAAGATAAAGATGTACTGATAACTAAAAACAGGTCATTCGGAAACCATACATAATTCTTGTAACAACGAGAAAGACAAATCAAATATGCTATAAGCAACATATGAACTATATAAAGTAGTACCAACCAATAATAACAGCAATTGTTTTCTTTTAAAATAGCCCAACAACCCGAGGAAGCTACAATAAATACAGCTAAACCAACAACGAAGCACAGACCGATACTGTGCAGATACCTGTTGCTATACAATAACGAACCAATCATTGTATATTTCATAGTATAAGTCCACATAGCTAGTCCAATAAATGCCATGGAATTGATCTGTTATAGGCATTGATATTAAGATTACATCAAATTCATGGCATTTTCTTTTGGAATTCAAAAAGTTCGAACTCTCCCTTACTGAAATTTAACATTTACCAAACTCAAAATGTTAGCCTTTTCAAAATAATGAAACATAAATAGCATTTCGCTACGAGCAAATAATGAAATAGAAGAAACTAACATAAAAGAGAAAATTGAAGAAATAAACGATCATTTGAAGCAGTTGTACATCACAACAACTTTTCTCGTTATATATCGCTCGCTGTATGCGGTCATCTCTTTTAGCCATACTCACTCAGTTTATGATTGGATAATATTAGATATTACAAGAGAAAAAGAATAAGCAGATGTGTTTTAATATTTATAATTTAAAAAATCTCAGCTTATCATCTAATCAATATATAGTGTTTGTGATACTTCGAGACATCCATAAAGCCATTTCAAATGTTTTCTTTGTTTTAACCTACTTTCTTGTCTATCTCTCCCTTTGCAGTGTACGCTGTTCCAATATATTTTCTCAATTCATTCAGTGCAGAATTCGCTCAACACCTAAGATTTCCTGTTATTTCTACCATCCTCACTAATTCTACCTTGACAAGGAGAAAAAAGACGACACAGTACAAACAATCCCTCACTGTATCAATAAATAGCCAAATTCTATACGATAAACGAAATGGTCAACATCTCCTTGCTATCGAGAAATTTATTACAGAGATAATATTTCATATGTCAAGAACATGCAGACAAAGAGATAGACACAGTACATCTTTCCGTGTTACTGATGTCCTATATCTTCGAGAATGCCACAGAAGGAATGTCTCCTACAATTGTTTACTGAATGATATAACCAGAGATGCTAAGGGTCTACCTTCCCTTTGTGAGATACACTTCAGAATTTTCGCAATTAAAACTTCACTTGGCTGGGTAACTCAGCTGAATGAGACCACTGTTAAAAAGTTTTCATTTCTACACCAAGCAATGATTGCAGTTTTATACTATTTATACTATGCCGGGCTACACTAGTCAAATCTGCACAATGGGATATAAGACTAATTATGTAAAATAAATCTTTGTAATTGAGAATTAAATTGATCCAACAGTTGTACTACATTTTTAATAATTTATTCTTGCTACATCAGTGGCCATCGTTTCATCTTATGAAAAATACATGCCTTCACAATAGAGATTATCTCACGAAAACGTAGCACAATATACCTACTTTTTTATATTTCATAGTTTTTGCAAAATCAACTGGTTTCAGATTGATCCTTTAATTTCAATATCAGCAAAAGCATAATATAATTTCTACATGACATAAGCAGTTCATAAACAAATAATTTTTTAGTTCAATAATTGAATGAATTACAGAATTAAATTCACCTTCATTTGCAAATATGGAAAACTTTCATAAAAATGACTTCACTAAATCCTTTATTAATAATCAAATCGACTTTCAACATGAAAAAAAAAAATCTCTCATCAAAATTAAAACCTGCATTTCAATCTGAAACAAAAATTCTTAAATATTTATTATTGTGATAAAAGCAAAACTGGATTAATATCATTTACGAAATACCAATTATAAAACAACTTGAGGATGAAAAATAATGGTGATAACCATCAGAATTATTATCGAAATAACTCCACTTCGATTTGATTTACTAAAACATCATTGTATTTCACCAAACCGTATCTTTCAATACTCAACGGTAACAAGGAATCAAGTAAGTTATATTACCTCCGCAATACATTGATGAATGCTTCTTTAGGGATTTGTACTTGACCCAGCTGTTTCATCCGTTCCTTTCCTTTTTCTGATGCGACAATTTCTTACAGAAACGTTCCCAACCACTACCTAGAATTCACCATAAAAAATGAAAAATAGAAATCACCAAGAAATAAAGAAAGAATTTTAAATGAAAATAATGGAGTTGAATATTCAAAAAACGAATGTATTAGTGAAGAATGATAAGAATATCGCAAAAGAAGATTAAACTTATTAAACTATTATAGTAATTAAAATAAGCAAACAGTTTGCACGCAGATGGAAGAAAAAAGTAAAGATACAATAAAAATATGAACACAATAAAACAAATGAAATTTTAAAAAAAAATCTCGCAGATAAAAAATTAGTATGAAGGAAAAAAGCAGGACAAAAACTATTAAACTAAGCTCAAAAGTTATCAAACCTCCAAAATTGCCTTTCAATCGACCTGTGAAATCTTTTTTGACCGGTGCAATAACTGTTTGTACTAGCGCCTTTTTGATTGTCCAAGAGTAGCTTTAATTCGTACTTCATACTGCTGACGAGGTATCTCCTGCATTATAAAAATTTTCAAAATATTTTTTTTCATAATAAAAAATCAGAGAAGATGAAAAATCTTTAGAAACTGTGTAAAAACTAACCTCTTTCAATTTCTTTACAATTTCTTTAGCTCTTGCTTTAATTTGATTTGAAGGCATTATCTCTGAGAATTCATAAATAGGAAGGTCATTGATATGTATCATAAGCAATTCAATTGTCGCCTTTTGGAAGCCATCCCACTGGTAATTATATGTCACATAACCACTAAAATATAAATGAATATTTCTGTCATTCGAAACTTTTCTTTAAAAAGAACCAAAAAACTATAAAGCACTGAATAATTAGGTAATGATGCTGAGTAAAGAAGCAGGGTAACGACCTTCTGCAAGAAATAGTAATCTGGCAAACGGAATAAGTAAAAATAGCAACCTCGTGATCCTTTTTAATCTATCGAAGAAGTCCATACAAACTTCAGCAAAAGGTAATCTCCATTGTTGCATAATACAGTCTGTATCCAACCCATTATTCTCAACTGAATGAACGAGATAAGGAAAACATAATATTCCCATCTTTTACAGAAAATAAGTTCAATAAATTGATTTTATGAAAATATATTACATATGTATAATAAAATATATAAATCAGCTGCACCAAGCACGAATGATACCTTGCTCTCCACGAGCATCAACACATAATCTTTCTACGTGCTCGCAATATGCAGTGGATAGTAAAAGTGTTAATTTTATCATCGGTTCTAAGAAATGATCAATGTCGCTGGGGCAAACCGGGAAATCACTAGCATCCAAAAGACGAATAACACGTTGACCGTTGTATCTAAAAAAAATAAAAAGCTGAACATATAAGTAATGTTCATCCAGAAACAAAGAAAAGAATTTTAAAAACAAAAGATGGAAAATAACCATTTCAACTCAAAAAAATAATACAAATGTAGCAAATAAGGTTAAGATTTTATAAAACACCTTTTTTTTAATATAGTCTGATTGTCTTTAATGACAGCGCGATATTCGACACTAGGTGCAGTTATGGTAATGTTAGTATCATATTCCTGCTCCAATCTCGCACAAAAAACCCGAAAAATAGTTACTTTAACTTTGGATGTTTCATTTTATTAGCAGCATGTAAAAAAAGTGAAATTATTTTTCCAAAAAAAACTAACTATTCTGGCTGTTTTGCTTTTAATAAGTTTAATAAGCAGAAAATTACCTCCATATGCAAATGTCCTGAGAAACCAATCTTGAAACCATTCCCCAACGCAGTGCTATTACTATGCTGGATTTGCACCGATGAATCATTTAAAGCCAATTTGTAAAGCGCAACGCGCAAGGCGTTATATTCATTTATGCTTGTCGGATAAATACTGGCATAAATGCATGGCGGAGTAGGCTACAATTTGACCAACCCTTTATGCTTGCTTTTTTTGAAGATTTTAGCGGAAAGAATTTGCCCTGTTTTTTCACTGTGTATACACTAACCGACCACTCTCAGGACAGATATGACTAGAAATAAACATACTAATTTGTCCACTAACCACGTTTCAAACTCGAACCGTTATTAGAGGCATAGGTTGTACCATATTCCGTTCATCGTTTACATCATATAACGTTTCTCCAATAACAGCATCTTGTACCGATTTCATCGTTGTTAACAGATAGCCAACTTGGCCAGCATATAAACACTGCAACACCTTTTTGAAATAAAAAGAGAAAGGATGGCAATAAATCATTTGAAACTATGAACAAACTACCTAACCTCAACTTCATACATATTCGGAATCATGATGCCTACTACCAACACTTCGTATTCACAGTCACTATGATACGTTCGTATTCTCTGCCCCTTAGAAATCACACCATCATGCACAGCAACGCAAACCACTGGACCATGATGAGTCTCATACCAGGAATCAAAAACATGTGCACGAAGAGGAGAATGTGCTTCAACTTTGGGTGGTGGTAGTCTGCAAAAAAGTGAAGATGAAAAAAAGAAAAAATTATGAAGTGACCCAGTAAGTGTTTAAGTTATGAGGTATGGAAAAATCCATCTTTAATATGAAGTAATAAATATTGCAAATGTATAACCTTTCAACAACGGCATCCAAGACATCGCCAATACCAGTACCATTCTTAGCAGAAATATAAAGTATTTCTGATGGTAAAAAATCGAATAAATTCTCCATTTGTGATACTACCTACAAATGTTCGGAAATGAAAAAGAACGATAGGTGATGAGGGAACGGTGGATGTTAAGCAAAGATAAAAGTATTCTATACCAGGACAGAAACTGCTCAGGTTTCCGACCCATACTAATTCTACCAAATTTTCCGAAAAGAAATAGAACTAGTTGAATTGAAGAAAAAAACAAAAAATGATGGAACATGAACGAACTCGTGGAACGTTAGCGCTCTTGAGATCCACTTTATTGATAACTGGGATTATTGTTAAACCAGCTTCAAATGCTAGCCAAAAATTTGCTACCGTTTGCGCCTGTACACCCTGTAAGTAGCAGTGTTGTATATTTGGCAAGAAATTTTTACAGAAAGTTTTTAAAAGCGACACAGAAATCGACCTGATTAGCGGCGACAAGAAGCAGAATTCCATTAGTAGCAGTAAGAGATCGAGCAACCTCGAAACTGAAGTCAGCATGACCAGGAGTGTCGATTAAATTCAACATGCAATCCTGTGATGTATTTATAATCATTATATAAAATAATGACTTTTTCCAAAATCATTATATAAAATATAAGTCATTATATAAAATAATGACTTTTTCCAAATTCTAGCTCTTATTTATCTTCTAGCTTATCGTATAAAAATACTATTATCTGGAAATAATAGAATTAATTGAAACTGCTTATTTATAAAATCTTTCCATCGTTTCTATGTGATAACTACCTGCTTTGAGTTATATGACTGTCAAATTACTTACAAAATTTCTGTGCAATTTCACATGTCGGCAAAAATCAA